AAAAAAATTAACTCCGCCTTCCTTGCTCCCATAGAAATCTTCCAACCGTTAGAGCCAGTTGCAACTGTAGAGGACGAACCCTATGTATTCACTCTGTCCGAGCCTGCGGTTCTGTCCCCCCCTGACACAATTAAATCCACGCAAAGCGGCCGGACCCGACTGTATTCCTGATTGGCTCTTGCGTGAGTACGCTGAGGTTCTTGTCGAGCCCGTTACAGCTATTGTACAGCTGTTGTACAGCTATTTTGTTGTATCGACCCATGTTGGCTGTTTTGAAGATCATTGACCGTGATCAATACGGTGCTATCCCTAAATCCTCCACCCTGTTCGCTCTGATCTCGATGTTTCACCACTGGTCACAAGCTACAAACGGTACCGGTGCAGCCGTTAGAGTCGTGTTATTTGACTATCACAAGGCCTTTGATCTTGTCGATCATAAGATACTTGTCGCTAAGATCATCGGCCTCGACATACCGCGCAGCATCAAAGCCTGGGTGACTGACTTTTTGACGAATCGACACCAACGCGTCACGTTGTCCTCTGACTGCTTTTTGAGTGGGGCCCAGTCCCTGCCGAAGTTCCACAGGGGACCAAGCTCGGCCCCTTGCTTTTCTTGCTCATGATCAATGATCTCACGGTTGTCGCTCCCATGTGGAAGTATGTTGACGAGACGATAATCTCCCAAACCATACCCTGCGGCTCCCTGGGTGACGTGCAACACGCTGTTACTGCCGTGGGGGAATGGTCTAGGTCTTAGTGGATGCACCTCAATGCCGCTAAGTGCAAGGAGATGATTATTGACTTCAAGAAAAACCCTCATAGCTTCTCCCCTCTCCAAGTAGATGGTCACGTGCTTCCTGTCACCGACTGCGCGAAGATATTAGGTGTTACGATATCCAGTGACTTGAAATGGAACAATCATATTGTAGATTGCATTAAGAAAGCAAATAAGCGTCTGTATTTTATTGTTCTCTTGAAAAGGGACCGTGTTCCCCTTAACGACATTGTGAACTTCTATTGTACAACAATTAGACCTATAGTAGTATACTGCGCTCCAGTGTTCCATCATGCACTCCCGGCCTATCTTAATCAGGATATAGAAAGAATTCAGAAACGCATGCTTTCTATAACTTCACCTGAAATGTCATATCGGGAATGCCTTGACAGTCTAGGCCTGCCAACTGTGTACGATAGACGCATAGAACTCTGTTGTCATTTGTTCGATTCCATCGCTACCAATCCCGAACATAAGTTGTACCATCCTCTGCCATCAAGGAAAAAATGTAGTTCTAATTTAAGGCGTCAAGAGATATATAACTTGCCACGTTCTCACACTAAACGTTTTCGACGCTCTTTCTTCTATGCTATGTCCCAGGGTGCGCAAAATGGCTCCTAAAGTTTCAAAGAAAGTCGAGTTTAATTTTAGATATTCATACATATTCTAAATTTATTTATTATATTAGGCATTTACATTTATATGATTTTATTTAGCTTTATATTTTAACCAATGTTAATTGGCTGTAAAATACGCAATTTAGTTTTACGACTGCAAAGTATTACTCAATAAACGATCTATCTATCTAAGTTTTGGGCGACACGTAGGTTTCCACAAACCATTAGATTATTCGCAGTTGATTTCCACTCGTGATAGTTGATTCTCGAGCCCGTAATCCTTTGTTTTATAGCCTGATTCTTGAAGGAATTTTCCACGGTTTCTTATTATGTGTTCTTCTCATCATGCTCACCTTAAGGGAATAAAGTTGATTCATGTAAATGAAGTGAAGAAAAGAAAAATTATAGGATTCACTTCGGTAGAAATGAGTCGCTAAGACTATAGTAATCATTTTTACCTCTTGAAAACATTGGAAAATGAAAGAAACGGTTCAGGGATCTGTCTTTCTTGTCCTGGTGGAGTAATAAACAGCTTCTCACCCTCCCACCCTCAGTATTCAGTTATCTTCTCTAGCCAGACAATATTAACAGATGGAGGCAAACAGCCTAGTGGCCTTTCTAATTTAGAGGCCACACGCACCAAAAGGTCTTGCATCAATAAGTACTACTCTACCAAAGATTCTTAATGACACTACTGTGCCTAGCATTAAAGGTGGACTATGCAGTAAAATCCACTCGAGTTTTTATCTCTACAATTAAAAAGTATCTAAGATTGCCAAGAGTAACCGAGCTGTTTAAATAATGCCCTTCCGCCTCTCGAAACTTCCAGTCACGTTTTCTTGCCATCACACCCCACATCGCTTTGTTGAGATGAGTTGCAAATGGTCAGATAAGTTTTTATCACTTTTAAAGATCGATCAGTTTACATTCATCAAATATTACTTTGATACTTTCTGAAACATCAACTAACTACTTCACTATACTAGTCCGCTGACGTAGCGAAGAGACAAGCACTTTTCAATCCCCTGTGGTAGTCTACTGACTAAACATATATTTTCTGCTGGCATACGGAGTTTACAGCTCATTAACAGTTTGTTTCATTGTTGATTCAATTCACTGTAAGACACGACATTTGGGGCGTGTCCCTTGGGTATTCCTGATTGGTGTGGTTTCAGTATTTATAGACGGTTCAATGCGATTTAGTCCTCTCACTTTCGCTTTCCACGCTGACATCGAAGTTGTAGCAATGGACAGTAAGACGGCTCGATCAGAAGCAGAAGTCGTTATCACTTTGGCACCCGAAGTCACGGAAAACTCTTCATCACAGGAAGAACAATCAAATCCACCTTTGGTTGATCAAGTGTTCTCTCTTTTCAAAACCTATCTGGCCTCCCAACTCGAGGAACAAAGCAAGCAGCTCGAAGGAAAGTCGGAAGTCGTTAAGGAAGCCACCGAGTTCAAATTCAAGGGTAATAGGAAGCAGTTCGAGTTAAATGCCCTACTGGACCACATCTTTGGTCAGATAGAGGTCAGCCTGAACGAACCGCAAGAGATCCGCAAGCTGGTGGCAGAAGGGCGACAGCTCATAAAGAGACGACAGAAGTTAATAAAGCTCGCAGATAGAAGCAAAGACGGGTGGCTGGTTGGGCAGGAATACGAGTCGGACTTGCTTCCGACTCTGAAGATGAAAAGAAAATT